GGATACATATTCTGTGTCTGTTTCTCTGCTCAGCGTCAGACTCCTCTCCACTGCACCAGCTCCTTTTCAGGCACCTCCTGTGTGGTAACGCTGTGCTGGGCCCTGGGCGTGTCTGCAACAAAACAGACCAGCCTGTGTGCTCAGGGAGCTTGCAGTCCAGTGAGAGTGCAATGAGCAGAGAGTCACAAACAACCTTGAAAACAGATTTAAAGTGAAACAGCGATTAAATGTTCTGAAAGATAGGCACATAGTGGGTGCTCTGAGCACATCTCAGGGATGGATGATCTAATCCAGCCATTTAAGGAAGGCTTCCCTGAGGTGGCATTTGGGCTGTGACCTGAAGCTTAAACACAGACATTAAGCAGGTGGAGGGAGGATGGGCAGAAAAGAATGTGCCAGGCAGGGGGAACAGGCTGGGTAAAGGCCCTGAGGTCGGAGAACACATAACGCCATTCAAGACAATAACATGAGGATGACGATGATGACAACGATGGCAGCTCAGGTTCACTGCGTACTTACCATGTGATACTGTGGTAAGCACTTTATGTATATTATGCCAGTCAGTTTGCAGGATGCTATGATAGAGATACCAAAGCACACACCGTGTTAATGGCCTGCCCATATCCCTTCGGTCTTCCCAGAGGTCCCCTGAGGATGGTTCTCACACTTGTTGGCAGGTTCCCACATTGCTCAGCCTGCCGGCAGTGGGCAAGCTGGCGGTGCCGGGGAGTCTGTGCTTCCCAGGACAGCCCTTGCCAATGGCTAATGGGAACTGGCTGATAAATATCCTAGCTTTCTCACCCATTGGTGGGTGGTTCTGAGGCCACACTGCCCCCAGGGGCACCTCCATCACACTTGGCTGGCTTTTCCCTGTCCCTGTCTCTCCCCTCATCTCCACTGTGCCTCTGGGATCACTTCTAAAATAACTACTTGCCCCTGAACACTTGTCTCTTGGTTTTGAGAGTAGTAAGTAACAAAGCTGTTTGACTTCATAGGCTATGGAGCATCCCATTTAACAGATGAGGAAACGGAGGCACACGGGAGTTCAATAAACACAGTACTGCAAGGTCTTTAAACTAAAGCTCCACCAATGTGTGTGCATGTGCACATGTGTGAGTGTGTGTGAACAAGATGAGGCTGGTGAGGAGTGTGTGCAGGCCAGGGGGAGGATTTGGGTCATTAATTTGGGTGGACAGGAGGCTTTTGAAGGGCTTCTGTAGATGGGCGACCTGTTCTGATTGCTGTTGGGACAGTGTCACTGTGGTGACTGTATTAGGGGGGCTCGAGCAGAGGCAAGGGGATGGTTGGCAATCGCTGGGGTGCCCAGGGGACCCCCCCAGAGTAGGGGCACTGAGCTCACTTATTGGTCTCTTGAACTCTGGGGCACCTGAAAGCCAGGGGGTGTCCTGGCATCAGAGAGGCTTGGTTTCCTGCCCTCCGCCCACAGTGCTCATCTCAGGGGAACATACTCCTGGCACTCCCTCGTTCCTTGCCTTCTTAGGTCATAGAGTCCCCCGACCTCCCACTCCCATCTCGGGCCTGTGTCAGGGAGGGGCTGTGCCTGGACTGGCAGCTGCAGTGGGAAGGCCAGCCAAGCCTCCTAACTGGCAGGCCCCCAAGGCCAGCACGTGGCCAGCCGGGTGCCGGCTGTTTCTGCCCCAGTGCCCCTTGCAGCCCAAGCCTGCCTGAGCAGATGGTCTTAGAAGTGAGTGCAATCTGAACGGGGTCAGGGAGGTCTGCCGGCCCCATCTTCCCCGTCTCTGCCGGGCTCCTCCCCTGCCCTTGCTGAGGTCCTGCAGGGGCTGATGAGCTTGGCTGGCCAGGGGGACTGTACAGCATAGTGAGGTGTGATGTGACATGGCCCAGACATCCAGGAGTGCTGGGTAGAACAGGACATGCATCCAGGGAGCTCTGGTGCAGCTGACACAGGCCTGGAGGATGGGGGTAGGGATGGCAGGGGGAGTGGCAAGGGGTGTGGGCTACCCTGCAGATGCCTCAGGGAGCTCCCGACTGCTCAGTGAGTCCCTCACTGGGTGGCTTGTGGTGGCAGTGAGAGGAGGTCAATGGAACTCATGTTTGCTGAGGGCCTACTGTGTGCCTGTTCCTCAGTGTTACCTTGGGCTTTTATCTAGAATAGGGCTTGGCACATGGTGGTGGTCAACAGGCCAGGGTCAGTTAAGATGTGTTGCGTCTGCTCAGAGCTGTTCATTCAGCCCCTCTGGCCTGCCTGCTGTGCAGAGACACAAACAAGTAGAGTAGGACTTGGAGGGATTGTTGGTCCAACCTTTTTTCAGAGGATCCCAGTCTCAGCCCCCAGTTGGATCTCTCTAATCTGCTGGGCCATGGTGAGTCACTTTCCAGGGGTCACTTATGGGGGATCCAGCCCTCCCAGCCCCAGAGCTTCTACGGACGAAGGGTGGGGTGCAGCAGACTTAACCCCTGGGGAACCTCCAGGATCGGGGCAGCAAAAGCTACAGTGATAAGAGCGGCATGGACAGTGATTGTTCAGCAAGGGCTGAGTGTTCTGTGAGTACTGCTGTGTTGTGAAGCCTTAGCAACCACCCAAGGGAGGTGATATTAAGGCCCAAAGCAGAGAGGGGAGTTGCCCACGGCCATGCAGTGAGGAAGTGGCTGAGCCGAGTACCGAACCAGAGCCATTTAACTCCAGAGCCTAGACGGTGTGTGCACAGGCACCAGCTCCTCACTCTGCTTCCCAGAGTTGTTGCCACGTTCTGCCTGCCAGACAGGAAGGTTGAAGGAGGGCTGTTGGAAGGACCCAACCTTCCTCGAGATGTTTCCAGCGACTCCCAGATCCCTGAGAGGGGCGGTGGGCGTTCCTGGAAAGCTGTACCCAGGAAGGAAGGCCACAGGTCCAGTGTGTCCTCAGCCACAAAACAGAAACACTGCCTCAGCCTCCTCGGTTGCTGTGAAAGTCAAACAAGAGGAAACAGCTTGAAGGGGCTTTGGGGAGATCCTGGCACAATGAGGGGCACACAGAGCCTAAGTCTTCCTTCTGGGCCCTCCACTTAGCTCCTGAGCCCCAACACCCACCAGAAAAGGCATCTACTGTTGGGGTCCTCATGAAGAAAAGGGTCGGGGACAGAAAAGGCTCACAGATGCCAAGAAGTCAACCTAAAGTCTTGGAAAGAGACCTGCGTCAGAGGGAACCTAGGTTCAAGTCCTGACTCCTACTGGCCAGGTGAGTCACCGTTACCTTCTGGGGTTCAGTTTCCTCTTTTGTGAAGTTGGGTGCAAAATGCCCACTTCAAAGAGTTGCCGTACAAAATACAATTGACATATGAGGTGTGAATTGTTGATATATTGTTCATGAAACTGTTTCTTGATCTTTGCTTGAAAACTTCCTTTTATACCAGCAAGAATCCCCTGTGACCTGAATCCTGTGAGCTCTTAATGTAAATACCATCTCACAAATGATGCAACCCCCAAGGCAGTTCATCGTACACCGTACATCGCCGTGGTCAGTGTTTACAGCTGGAATGGCTTTTTCAACTGAAGACTGGCTAACTCTGACCCCTGGACTAGTTTTTCTTTGAGGGCTTGTGCTCAACATTTGATTCTCAGAGTGCAAACCGGAGGAGGCGAGTCAGAGGCGAGCCCAGCCTCGTGATGCCCAGTGATGGGGTAGTGCCACCCAGGCTAGAGAGCCAGAGGCAGCCTGTTCTCATCTGAGTGTAGAGCAGGTCTCAGATGTATCTTTATTTTACTTCCTCTTCTTAAACATGAAATACACGTTGGGTTTTAAGCTATAGCAAAAAAAAAAAAATAGCAGTAGCGAAATAGGTGCCTACCAGGTGTCACGTGGGGGTCCTTCCTTGCCCTCCTCCCCTGCCCCTAGCAGGTGGCTGTAGGTGGTGGAGCACCTTGTCCGAGGTCCAATTCTATAACCTGAATAGGGTGCCTGGATTGTGAACACAGTGGATGGAGCTCTTTCTTGGGATTTTAGGAAAACAGACCAGCTTCTGGCCCAGCTAGGCTGCCGCAGTTTTTCTCTTGCCTTCAGCTGTGCAGCCTGCCCCTGATTTCTCTTGAAAGGCAGCTCTTAATTAGAATGGATCGAAGAGTCTGCTCCAGCTTTGTTCTCGGTCTTGATTGAATCGCAGTTTTAGTACTTAATCCGGCACTGTCACCAGTGGGCTGGGGCCCTGGGCTCTCCCAGCTACTCTCAGGCTCGGGCAGGCTGGTCCCTGGGGAGGGTGGGGGCAGAGAGCTCTGCGGTGCCCCTCTGCACCTCTCCCTCCAGGCTGCTCTTCCTTGTCTCTTTTTCTCCCCACCTGCTCTCTCTCCCTTTAATTTCCTTTCATTAACAACCCAAGGCTGGTCCAGGGTGTCAATCCCTGCTGGTGGGAGTGTAAATTGGTACAATTTCTCTGGAGGGCAATTTGTCAAATGCTATTAAAAGCCTTAAAAAAGTGCATAGGCTTTGACCTGGAAAGTTCCCTTCTAGGAATTGTCCTACAGAAATAACTGGAGAGGGGTCCACAAATGTGTGCAAACGGATGTTTGCCCCTGGGGCTTTTCACTTGGAAACCTGGATCCTATCTACAGGAGGTCATTAAAAATGATCACACGATCAACCAACTGGAAAAGAACCTTTTGGAACTAATCAGAGAAATTTGAATCTTGACTGAGGATTAGATATTCCTAAGGAATTACTGTTAATTTATCAGGTGTGATCAATGCCCTTGAGATTGATTTAGAGCCACATGACCAGGAGGGTGGGTATGTGGTTTGAACTGTCTTAACAGTACTAGTAACGGAAGGGGGAGTAGGATGAAGCAAGGGTGGCAAAATCTGGCAAATTCTGAATCTGGCAAAGTGGAAAATGAGTGTCTATTGTGCTGTTTTATTTTTGTGTGTGTTAAAAAATTTCCATGACTTAAAAAGAAATAAAGTGATCATATCAAATGGTATTTTTTAACCTGAAATGATGTCCTCAAGACATTGCTAAGTGAAAAGAAAAAGCCCCAAATAGCATATATGCCGTCATCACATTTTTGGTTTAAAAAATATGTATAGAATTTTATATGCAGAGGAGAAAGGACAGAAGTACATACTAGAATGTTAATGGTGGCTATTTCTGGGGGGTAGAATTTGAATAATTTCCATTTTCTTTACACTTTTCAGTATTTTAGACTTTTAAAATAATAAGTTAACATTACTTTTATGTTCATAAAAAAGCCATAATTACTAGAGAAAATATGGAAAGCACCTAATATGCCTTGAGCATTACTATATACCATTCATTCCCTGTAAAAGGAGGTTTTACATATCTTAATCCACACACAATAATTGGTGAGGTTGATGCTGTTCTGTTCATTTGACAAATGGGGAGGCTGCCCGTCAAGAGGGTAAGTGCCTTGCCTCTGGACACACAGCTGTGATTCTTATTCCACTCTTCTCATTTTTAGCCAGTGCCCTTTCCACTAACCCCCAAAGGGGGATGGTCCTAGAGATCCTACGAGGAGTAGCTGAGGTGGTCCCTGCCCTCCAGGACCAGCGCGTTCTTTGCTCTCTTGGAGCAAATTTTGGAGTCATCCACCTCTGCCCTTAAAACCAGTTACATAAAGGTTTTGGCAAAAATGCACTTTCCCCCTCATAGCACAGGTGAAACTTGAACACTGCCCCTTCGGTATTTTCTCCTAAGGAGCCTTTCCAGTGTTCTTGCCTGTTGAGGATGGAAACAAGCTCTCTGCTGCCATCCTCCTCATATTCATCAGCTCTGTTTACTGGCGGAGTGGAAGCGTGAACGGGCATTGTATATGTAAATGTCACAGAATCCGCAGAGGTTTGCCAAGCCTGAGTTCTTAATCCTGGCTCCATGGCTAACGATTTGCAGCTCAGCGAAGTCACTCTCTCTCTGTTTTCTCTGCCTCTAAAGTAAGTAAAGACAAAGCATTAAAAAAATCAATTGGTGTTCTAAGGAAAAGCAGGAGAAAGACAATTCTAAGTTGGGCTGAAAATACTTCTCCCAAGTTTTCCCTAATGCCGGAGAAAAGTAAAGCCTTATCTCCCTCGCCCCCGTCAGCTTTTGGCCAAGTGCTGTGATGCCTCTCATCTGGTCTCCTTACTTCCAAACACTTCTTCTCCCACTCCATCCTCCAATTCCTCCCAGCTTGATCTTCCTAAAGCAGAAATCCTGGTAAGTCACTTCTGTTGAAAACATTTAATGGCTCTCTACTCCCTTCTGGAAAAAGTCCAACTTCTCCCTCTGTGTACCAAAAGCTCCATGCTCTTTTTTGTTCTTCTCTCCAACCTTTTACCTGCTGGGCGTCCCTTACTCCTCACCATACACTGCACACACAGCTCCCCAAGAGGGCTCCCTGTTTCATGCCTCAGGGCCTTTGCATATGCTCTTTCCTTTGTTGGGAAATTCCCTTCCCTGGCTGGCATCAGGTATTTCCCTCCCAATTCCCTGGAAACCCTCCCTGCAGCTCCCTGCCCGCCTAGAGTTTCTCAAGGGCAGAGCCTCAGTAATCCTCAGTGTGCAGCAGGGCCCCTGCATGGAGGGGGACACAGGAGGGGGGCACCCAGGTGCAAAAGCAAAGACCTCTCCACATCTTTAGGGCGAATAAACCTCCTCTGGAAGATTTGGTTTAGTATGATTCTCAGTTCCCATCCTGGGCTCCACCAAGTCTGTGCTTAATGCTCCCCCAGTTTAGGACAGGAAATTTTTAGTTTTCAGTATTCCATTTTTAAAAACAACATTTTAGCACCACAGTAAATGTATTTTAAATAGACACTGCAGCAGGCTGCCTCCTGCCCCCGGGTCTCCTTGAGGAAGAAAATCTAACCAAAGTAACTTCCCCAGCCACAGCAAACTACAGGGCTGGCTCTCGTGGCAGAAACAGCATCGTGATGAGCTTCTGGGTCCAGGGACACCCCCTGGGGCCTGGCCCCCATGCCATTCATATCTGAACAGGAACCCTTCTGTGGCAGGACGCAGCAAACGACTTGGCAAGGAAGGTGCCTGAGCACCACAGAGGCATCGTGTTTGAGCTGGGGAACCAATATGTTTCCGAACACCGGCTCCAGAACTCGGCTGGCCCCTGTGTTCCCACCCTCCCGCTAGCCTGGGCTTCTCTGCCTCTTGATGGGTGGGCCCACGTGGTGTCACCAGGAAGCAAAAGGTGCTGTGGAATGTTCATCTTCACAGAGCCAAAGAATAAAACACAAAGAGGCTGGACCCAGCCCCAGACCAGTTCCCACCGAAGGAAGGACACCCAGCGGAACCTTCCCCTGCAATCCCAAGAGACAGCGGGAGGAGCCTCGGCTCCAGTGCTCTCCCCCAGCAGTCAGACACCCTGGCTTGGGTGTCTTTTTGTTTCACTGGGGTCTAGAAGTCAAGCGTTGGCTCAGCTTTCTCCTCCATGGATTGTAGGTGACTCCAGGGCAGGGCCTGAGTCTCATTCACTCTGGCATCCCCCGGAGGGTCCACCACACAGACGGTGCTCATCTTCTCAATCCCAGGGCTGGTCGCTGGGCAAAGAAAGTGGAGGGTGGGCCACGGCTGTTGCATTCCAGCTTTGAGGTGCTGGTGAACTGACTCTGCCTGGAAGGTGCTCTCTCAAATCTCACTTAAGTTACCTTCTCGGGCAGGTCTTTCTTGACCTTCCTAGTTCGCAGGGCTACTCCCCATCCCTGGCACGTGGCATGCCCTCTGTGCTCTCCTGCTCTGTTACCATCCACCAGACTGTAACTTCCCTGTTTAACTGAACCCCTCTCCCACCCATTAGAGGAAGGGTAGGGCTTTTAGTTTTAGTCACTGATGAGTCCCCAGTTCCTAGAACAAGGGCCAGCACATTAGGTGCTTGGAAAATGTTGAAGGAATAAACTGCAGACACAGCATGAATTTCATACCGTTTGCTCATGGAGAATGGGGTCTTTAGGCAAGTGAGGTAACTGATAACCACTGGACTAGGTTCCCCAAATATTGCCAGGCACTCTGAGGTTATAAACCTATGATGTCTGTCCTCCACTGGCTTCTTGTTGTCTTTGCAATAAAATCCACATTCCTTCCAGTGTGGCCCCTGTCAACCTCACCCCCTTCTGCTTTTCCTGTCGCACAACAGACTTCATCTTCACCGGCCTAAGTTCCTTGACCCTCCAAGCTTGTTCATACCTCAGGGCCTTTGCGCTTGCTGTCCTTGCTGCCTAGATGACTCTTCTGCCCCCTTACCC